AAATAAAGAATTTATTTCTTTAAAAACCTTTTATATAAAAACTGTAATAACCTAATCTGTAATTCTTGTTTTAATATAAAAGATTTTTAAAGAAATAAATTCTTTATCTTAAATATTGATATTGATTAAATCATTATTTTAACGCTGAATTAATCTATATCTGCTTTCAGTTTATCACAACAGAATAAGCACGTGAAAATTATTTTAAAATATGTATGTACATACACACATATTTTTAAACATGTATCAGTATATATTTTTAAAATAGCAGATCAGAAAATAACTTTACTCACTCAGATAGTCCCAATTCTAAAGAAATTTCATCTTCTTTATTAAAAAGCAATATCAAAAAATGATAACGCGTTTGTCCTTGTTTAATTGGTGGATCTAAACTAAGCTGAAAAAAATTAATTTTTCTAAGAAACTGTTGAAAGAAAAAAAATAAAATAAACATATATGATTAAATATTAAAAAATGAATACTTACTACAAAAAAAGTTTGTCTGTTATCTTTATGGGGAAGTAAGAACAGACGTAATACTGTACTAAGTGGAATTTTGTAATCAAATGTTTTACCATGGAGCTGGATAAATGAAGGAAAAACTTTGATATCATAACGACCTCTGAAAACATAATTTTATGAAATTAAAATATTTTCACCATTATCATTTTTAAAATTAATTTTATTAAAATCAATTAAAACATTTCAAAATCAATTATTATAAAAAAGATTAGTAATTCTGTTAAATTTAAAACATTTTAAAGAAAATAATCATCAGTATAATATATCATTTATAAGAATTCAACAGAAAAAGTATATATTGCACAGATGAATAAAATAAATTTATAAAAGTAATAATAAATGAACAGAAACTAATATGAACCTTAATTAACATGCAAATACTTTCAGAGATTTCATTTAAATTTTATTCATACAAGATTTCCAAATAATGTGAGAATTTATCATACAGAATTAGTGAAGGGAAAGGAATTTATCATGTGGACAACAGAAGCAGCTATGTAGCTCACGAAGACCAATAAATACATAACAATGAAATGTAGAAAAGGAATATCTTCTTATTAATTATTTTCTTTCTTCCAATATTCCAAAAAAGAATTAGATCCAAAATTACCCAATAAACAAAAATCATAAAATTTTTGTTCATCACATATAGATGAGAGAATTTCATTTAGAAAGCCAAAATAGTAGTACCTAGCTGGACTGTTGGTTTTGGCTTTACTATGCATTTATTTTAATTATGTATTCTATACAAAGATATCATAGACACACTAATTCTAACAAACAGAAAAATCAACATATTAACCACTCGACAGTCAGGGACAGATATATCCATCCAGGACAATCGTGTGGCAGTGGTAAGGGATGGATATATCTGTTAAATTCTTTTGGGGTATCACCAAAAAGTAGCCAAAAACTACAGAGAAAAAAAAATTCACATAAAAAATGAATTATGTAACAATAAAAAAAACTTTTCTTTACTAGACATAATTGTTTACAAAATCTTTTTCCGAAACGGTAATGAGAAAAAACATGTGGAAAAATACTTTAAAAATTTCCCACGTTTATTCTCCACTACTTTGGGATAGCACCATACCTGACTATCACACTGTTGAAAGGTTAATAGACACATTATATTACATTATATATAAGTTATAATGTAATATCTAATGTTAGTAATAAACAAATAAATATATTTCCAAAATTTAACTATTTGGATATTTTTTTTCTTGCATATGCAAAAGTATAAAATAATTTTAACAAAACATTTTTAAGATTAATATTTTTTAGATAAAGCATGATAAACTGAAGTTTTCAACATTGCAACTAGATTCAAAATCTAATATTTAATAAATGAACTATTCTGATTAAACACAATAGAACATAATGTTTTAGAAAGATGTATACAATATATGACTCCATCCAGAATCCTTCAGAAATTAAAGACTAAGATCTAAAAAAGAATTAATGCTACTACTAACTATATTGATCAATCAATTCTCACTTCAATTTACTAATTTTATAAAAGAAGACATCCAACAATGTCACATACTTTTCAAAATTTTCATTTGTTCCTTAACATTTTGATAAATAGCAAAATATAGAATATTTATTTATTAACGACAAATAATTCTTTGTATAAGGAGAAATACAGAAACAAATACAATGAAGCATACTAATATACCGTATATATATGCATGAAATAATTAAAATATTTTAAATTATTCAACATCCAACAAAATTAAAATTATTTACCTGGGTGTTAGACACTGTAATTCTTTGAAAGTAACAATTGCATCTCCAGTTGCTTGAATAATACTGGCTTTTGCAAGGACGTTTTCCAAAAATGCCTGTAATATATATTAAAAATTGCATTTAACTTAATATTCACCATATACATGTTAAAATAATTCTACTTTAAAAAAATAAAAAATTTGTAAACTTGAGTAATTTTCAGTGAAAATTATGAATTCTAAATTTAAATTAAATCATGCTTTAATTTAATTACCTTATTTCTCCAAACATAATGTAAAAATTTTTTTCTAAATTTTACTTTCTAAAAATCAAATGGCATCTTATGTTTGAATATTGAAAAGATTTTTGAAAATCAGTGAATTTATGAATCAATTATTTCTTCTTACAATTACTGGTTAAGGTGATTTTGCAAACATGAAATGATTGTGTTCACAAAGACATTTAGGATAAATTTACAAATCACCAGACAAACATTATACCTTACATAAAAAAATATTGTTCTTTTAACATGTCTATTCAATGTCAGAGTCAATAAAATCAGAATTTCCATATAATCTTATTCACTTAACTCCACTTATTTGGTTGGTTTTTTTTTGTTGTCAACAAGGACAGTTTCCAGTGTAATTTTACTAAGTGCATTATTCTACTATTATACATTAAGAAATAGAATGAAAACATAGCAAATGTGAAAATTTCTAGTCAGCCATTTCTAACTTCAAGAAAGTCACAATATCTTACAGTAAATGACTTATTTTTTGCATCTACAATTTCTTTCAGAATGTAAAATATATACACAAATATGATTAAATTTCACATAAATTTTTGAAATAATTAAATGAAATGATAATGATTTAGAATCATGTTATTAGCCATTTATTAATCATTACCATAAACATGTTTAGTAACTTATTTTATCATTCAAAAGCTATTAATTATTATTTTACATGCAGTATTCCAAAACTGGAATGTTCCAATCTTTCAGCTGACTTTTTTAAAAAAGTTTTTTAAATTGAATAATCTAATACATAAATAAAAACGTTATATAATTTGATGTATAATTTTTTATTTTTTAAAAAAGTGCCTTTATTTAAAAAAGTCAGTTTTAGAATACTTGGTAAACTGTTCAATTCACAGGTGTAGAACCTGAAGATAGCCAATAAACTAGACTGGAAATGTTTGTTTCTAATAAAGTATTGTTGGAAGATGTAAGGAAGGTGTGATATTGATTAATAAATTAAATTTTAACAATGAACAATGATTTCATTATTAAATTTTTTAATTTGAGAAGTTTTCAAAAAATATTTTTAATATTTATTATTTTATAAATTTTTAAACATCAGAATTTCCTTCAATAATTATACCTTAATGTAACAAATCTCAAAATGATTGTCAGGGTTTGACAAATTTATTACAGTTACTATGTAATGCACTTTAATTTCTGCTCCGATGTATTCAGAAACTGCCCAGTTTCTATTGTATGATATCTTTGTAATTTAAGTTTATGCATACAAGGAAGCAGCTTTAGAATATGATGGCTAATGGCAGTGAAAAGACAAATTTGTTTTACAATATTACAAAACAAAATCCATTACAATGGTACAGCAGCACTTTCATACAAAGTATGTGGTGCCTTCAGACTTCAATATGTTGAGTTCTGGAAAAGAGAAGATCTAAGGAAAAAATCAGTGGCTGACCTTCAATTTCAATGAAGATGTGAAACATGTACAGGATATACCTGTAGAGCCCAAAAAATTAATTTCTACAGGGTCAAGGATACTGGGTATTCCACAAACAGTGTTTTAACAAAACAACTTCATATGAAGCCATACCACATAGCACTGCTTCAAACCCTAACAGCCATTAATCCACCTTAATGTGAAAATTGCTTTCTGGCTGGTGTAAATGTAAACTACAAGTTGTAATACATCACACAATAAAAATTGGACAATTTCTGAATACATTGAAGCAAAAAAAATATTTTAGTAAATTATACTGTAGCAGTAATAAATTCATCAAACTGTTGACAATCATTTTGAGAAGGTCTATAATTTAAAAGGGCATGTTTACTGATTCTGTAATTATTAAAAAACTTGAATTTATTAACTAGTATTTTTTCAATAACATTACATTTTAATAAAACTTCCTATTGCATTTCAAACAGGAAATTTTTACATTTGAATTCAAAAATATTTTAAAACTAAAACTCTATTAAAGATTAGCATATTTAACAAGTTATTAAAAATTCTGACATAGAAACTATATAAAAAATTTTTAAGCAAGAAACATAAACTTTGCATTACTTGAACAGGATCAACATCAGATGTATTATCAGTTGGTATATGAAAACGAAGTTCCATTAATGAAACTGCAGCATCATCATTTTGGTGAAACTCTAATGTCACTTCATTTTTAGCAGAATTGCAATGAGAGACATGCCCTAAAGGTATTTCAAAAGCTGAACTCTTATCTACATCAAACGAAAGTACAGAACCTGAAAATAAAATTCAATTTTTTTTTATTATGCATCTTTGAAATAATTTTTATTTTGATAATACTTTCAATATTCTTTTTAATGTAAATAAATTTGAATTTGTTTAAATTATAATTTATTGAATTTATTTAAATTATAGATTTTCAAAAATTTAAGTACAAGTTTGTGAAATGTACAGTACTTATTAAAGCTTGTAAACATTGTGTGTTAACAGCATTGTAGTAATGAGTGTAAAAAAATTATATATATAATTTTTTTACACTTATATGATTTAATGCTTAAAGTATTGATTAAAAATTAAATAAACTGAAAATAACAGAGTACCTTACAACAGAGTCTTTTAAAATAAATTTTGTCAGTGGATTATTTTACACAATGAAGTGTAATATAAATGACACAAGGCTTTCTTTAATGAAAAAAGAGAATTAAACAGATGTGAAGAAAGCCTTGTCATTTGTATCAGTGATTCTCAACCTTTTTTTCATCACAGTACACTTTCAATAATTTAAAAATTTGACAGGGCACACAGTTACTTCGGTAAGTACTGCAGGACAACTGGTGACATCATAACGTAATTTCTAAACGCAATTGGTTATTTAGGTCACATTTTCTAAATGCCTTGGTAACTACCGGCAGTTACCGGTTACACCAGTTACAATTTCCAAACATGCTCTAGGCAGGAAGAACCAATTAAACTATTTGTCTGACATTGCTTATATATGGATATTCACAGTGCTGGAAAACTTCAAAAATCTCGCGGCATACTAAAGTGCCATGGCACAGTGGTTGAGAATAATATAAATCAGTGGATTTATATTACACTTTATTGTAAGAAATAATCCAATAAAAAGATTGACAGTTTCATATAAATGTGAGGACCAGATATTTAGTGTTTTAAACTAAAATTTTTTTTTTATAAACTTTATAAAAACGGAACGAGAAAACAGAAAATTAAAAGAGAAAAAGGAAAAATAAAATCAATAAAAACTCGATTCCCACAAGTTGGATTCATTGTTGAGATGAGTACATTTCTGTGTCACGATTGTGTCACCCATCCCCTCATTGGACCAAAAAGATCGCCATCGCTGACGAAATCGGAGAAAAGTTCGAAAAAGAGGACTTGATATAAAAAGGGCACAGGCACAATGAGTAAGTGTGGAAGTTATTATTGGTGTCTGTGTGTGCACGTCTAACTCCCGCCGAGATTCCGTCAACCAACACCTTCTTCTCAACTACAAGACTAGAAGACCTCAACGGAAATTTTTCTACTCATCTGAAAAGAACTGTTCACCAAAAAAAAACTGTTGGACCTTTTGTGCTGGACTTGATCCCTTATATAACCTGAGGTATTTATCCTGCTCGCGCACTATTGTATGCTCTCTCTCTCTGCGTAAACAAAACACGCACCCGGTCGTTAATTTGAACTAAAAATTGAATAATAACTGAACCCTACTCATGTAGTTTATGTTTGCATTTTATTCGCTGATGTAAACCTAATTTAGAATACATATAAATAAACGGTTTTTATGTTTAAAACTTCTTGAGTGCAGTTTCTTCCGTTTTTCTCTCAGTTTCTCCATTCCAGGTCCAACCCTCATACCTATCCGCTCGCGCGAACTTGTGGTCTCTGTATTGACCGAAGGATACAGTGGTGTCATCCTGATGGGGTATCGAAGAGATACCGACCCTATGGTCACAAAAAGAAAATTTTGTCAGGTTACATACTGCAAAGAAAATATTGTGAGTAATATCTTTTATTCATAATACCAAGCACTTTAGAAGATCAAACTATCCCTTGTCTTCCAGCTCATTGTCTGGCAAGATAGAAGTATGCAAGGTCACACAGCTAATTGTACAAAGTCCAAACTGCTATACCATGTTCATTACTACTAGCAGTAAATACTGCTAGTAGTAATGAACAAAAGAATGACACCATACACCCTAATATTTGGGTGTATAGTGTCATTCTTTCTTGAAAATAATACTCTGAGATTAACATTCAGAACTAAAAATTCTAACTGAAAGATATGGAAAAATGATAAATCAAAAAATAATTGATGGAAATTTAGTTTCCATAATTTAAATAAGATTTGTTTAGGGACCTAAGAAACTAAATAAAGTTTCCACGAATGCAATACATCTAGGAACAATAAATCAAAGTTTTACTGTACACAGTAAGCTAGCTAATAGATTCTTTTACTGTTTAATATACAGTTAGTAATAATTATCATTAAAAAGCTGAGTAATATATTTCAAAAACAATTAATTTTTATAACTGATTTCACATCTTTAAAAATCTAAATTCAATCAATAACATACAAATTTTAATAATCATTTTTAATTTTTGAAATACCATGAAATTTAGCTGTTCCCCAATTCCATCCTTTCAGACACATATCTTTATTTTTCTGTTCAATTTGTAAATTATTAGAGAAGAATCTTCCTAATCTGTCATGATCCTTAAAAAAAAAGAAAATAAAAACATTTTAAGTATCTTTCTTATTTACTTTCTTAAAACAAACTTTTTAAATTAATTTAAGAACTAGTAATTTATGCATTTATATTCCCTGAATAAAGTTCTAAATCATTTCAAATTTTTTGATATCTTAATTATAGTAATAAATTAGAACCGATTTTTAACATACATATACATATTGAAAATAACTACCACAAACCAAAAATTTAATTGTGTTTACAATTTACAATTAATTAATTTTATAAAAGGATAATCTGTTTAAAGTTTTGTTTCAATAATGCACTCACAGTATCCTGAAAACCTCCAAATCTGTACAGCTGTCCACCTTTTGTCATTATTCTTATTCCAAATCCAGATGCTAGTCTCTGCCAATTAACAGTTTCAATTTCTGGTCCTTGGATTTGATCAACTTTCCCAGTTTTGCTATTTTTAAATACAATTCCTTGATTGGTCATTTTCAACCTACCAGGATTCTAGAAAATTAAAATATCAGTAAGATATATTAAGTTGAAAATTAATATATCATAAAAATTTTAAAGTTTTAATTATTTTACTCATCAACAAATAATTTATATATTTAAAGGTTTTGAAATTTTTAATTTCACTGCAATGAAATAAAATTTTTCATTTTTCAGTTTGCATTTTGGTACTTTTACATTAAACTCCCACAGGACTAGCATAGTACATTGTGTGGTGTGATATGTCACATAAGATGGAGGTATGGCTGTTTTACCTCCAATATTTTCAAATGCACTATAACTCATGTTGTTGGTTTATATAAATTTTGATATTATTCCAGTGTTGTAGTTTAATACAAATATAGATGATAATATGTTTGTAGAGTGTAAGTTTAAGTATAGTATGGAGTTTCTTATGACCTTTTTAGTTTGTCAAATACAGAGCGGGAGGCTATTGCCCTATTTCAAAAGTGCAGAATCATGTACCAAGTTTGTTCTGAAGAACATAGTATGAAATTAAGTTCAAATAGTACTTGACCCACATGAAGATGTTTTAAGAAAGAATACATGTATGAAGTTGCCATTAGAACAAAAACATGACTGAAAGAAATCTCAGATAGGCTACCCTTTGTCACAGTTCTGAGATTTATGTTTCACTGGTACAAAGAATTGACATCTGTAAACTTTTGTATACATTTAAAAATAAATGGTAACACCATTGTTGATTGCTTGCATTACATGAGAGAAGTTTGCTTTTACTTTATTAAAAATAATACGACTTCTTACTTTATTAGAGGAAATGGAGAAATTGTGGAAATAGACTAAACAAATTAAATAAATGGAAATATAATGTCAGAAAAATGTTCAATGAAATCGAGATTGTTGGAGGTATTTCTCAATGGACAAAATGTTTTCTTGTAGTACAGTAGTGACCAATAGATCCACTGCTACTTTGATTAAAATTATTAATATGTATATCTAAAGGTAACATAATTCATACAGACAAATAGAAAGGATATAGCAGAGTCATTAATTAAGATTAGGTTTTCAGCACTACATCAACCATAATGAAGATTTTATAGACTCTACTACAGGCTGCCATACTCAAAATATTGGAACATTTATGGAGGTATCTAAAGAAACACACTGAAAAATGAAAAATTTTATTTCATTGCAGTGAAATTAAAAATTTCAAAACCTTTAAATATATAAATTATTTGTTGATGAGTAAATACAAAGAGGAACAAGATAAAATCATCTACAGTGGTATCTCTCTGAATTTATATGGACAAGCTACAAAGGAGAAGTTCTATTGTGCAATATGTTATCATTCACAGGGAAAAATGGACAGCTAGAAATTCATATCATAACCAAAAGAAAAGTAAGCTCATATTTTATTGTGTAAAGAAAATTGTAGACTTTTCTTTCCATTCAAAAGTTTTTGAATTATAGAGTTTGTTTCAATTTAAATTTTAATGTTGGACTAAAGTAATTTCAGTTCTATTTCTATTGAATTAAAAATTTCCAGTGAAAATTCAAAAAATGTTTTCCCTGCTGTACCATTGCCATATCTGGTTGGATATTACTGTCGTGACATTAATTGCACCATACAATGCACTTAACTCATTGTGAAGTGGTTGATTGTAAAAGTACCTGTATTTTTTTATTATCTCTTTGAAATAAAATTAATTTATAAACTATTATAGATTTTCCTCACTATTTCTAATAAAAATATTAATACATCTATATTGCATAACTTATTATTATAATCTCAATTTTTACAATTATAAATTAAATACAAATAAAATTGTCTATAATTAAAATAATATGGTACATGATGTAAAAACTTTTTCATAAATAAATCAGATTTTAAGATTTAAATAGATCAGATTTAAATGTGGAATGAATAAGAAAACATTGCATAGAACTTTTAAGTTTTGCACTTAAAATAAAATGATAAATCAGTAACAAATACATAATACAATATAATCAATATATAATTAAATCAAATTATATGATTTGGTTATATATGTTTAAAAAACAAATTTTTAAAATCTAAAACAGTTAAATAAACAAATTAAAATTTTGACACATTTCTAACTTCAACAATCAATAAGAAAAACCTAATAATAAATCAAATTTGATCCAAAAATAAATGTTTTTTGAATTTTTCAGTTATTTTGTAAGACTGATCTCAAATCAAAAAGATTTGGAAGAATTCAAATAAAAGAAATTAAACAATTATATCTCATAGTAATGCATCTTCATCAAATTTCAATGAATAAAAATTAAAGAGACAAAACTAATAAAAACACAAATACTCTATTAAAATATAATATAAGAGTAAATAATTCCATAATAAATGAGGATCTCTTTGGAATAAAATTAATTCAAACTTCAAATTTATTAAGCAAAACTGTGAAAAGTTATTTTTAGCTATTAATACAGTCAATGTAAATCTATTGATGGCTGTTTTTGATTCCATTTCTTATTGATAGAGATTACCTACTTGTTGGGAATGAATTTTCAAGAAATTTGTTAACAACAGTTATTATACATAAAACTTAAAAAAAAGATGTCTTTAATTCCATGATAAATGATTATATTTACACAAAGGAGACTGTATAAATACTGTAAAAATTACTTTTAGGTCAACTGCTTATATGTTTTTATAAACAAATGACCTAAAATTAACTATCAAAAATATATAAACATTTCAATAACCTGACGTATTATCAATCATCTAACCATCGGCTAAATTAATCAAGCAAAATTACGCCACAATTAAGAATTAGAAATCGTCGGATGATTATATCTAAAATTTAAATGTGTCAAGAAAGGAAGAGTTACCCAAAGCTCCAGATGGCATAACCAGTCAGCACACTGCACAGTAAGCAGAGTTGCAGATTCGACTCCCATTGCGAGCCAATTCTTTTCTTCCAAACTATTCTAAATTAGATTAAAATTATAGTTCCCACTTTTGATAAGAAACAAAGCCTAACGTCTACTTCTAATTTCTAATCACATAATTTCCACTTCTTAATTTTAACATAATATTGCCCAATTAATTTGTCAGACATTGGTCTATCCATCAAAAATTCACACGACAAATCAAATCTACATTATTAATATAATACATTAACCGATAAGTAATGGCAAAGTTTGCTCAATTACAGACTTACAATATTAACATACACAACACTTACTACTTTCCCACGAAATTAAAAGAAACAAACAAACAAATAGAAGAAATGTTAAAGTGAACTATTGGCTGCATTTAGCAGACTCAACAGTTGTAACTGAGCAAATCAGTAGCTGTTACGGAGCAACCCAGATCTGCTGAACGATGAGCAACATTGCATTGGAACAAAAAGCCTCATTGATCAGTTTCAGATAGCAATAGGTAGTGTAAACAAAAGATGCTACCAAATGTGATGTCAAAACACCAAACATGTTCCGAAAGAGCGCTACTGTAAAGGGGTTCAGCAGAAAAATACTCAACAGCTCTGTAACTGTTGAGTCTGCTGAACACAGCCATTATCTCAAGTTTTCAATCATATTTTGGTAAAGTGAACTGTGATGTAATTTAATTAGATTTTTTAGTAGTGTCATGGTATTGAAGCAAATTGGAGGGTTCAATTCAAGCTCAGAATGATACGTTTGGGACCTTAACAGAGCTGTAGAGCATACTCATAGGAACAAAAACCAGATACATTAACAATGAATGAATGTTTCTCATTCGTCTGAAAACTGCATGTAAATAAACACAAATATGTAATTGCTTGATCAAATTTTAATAAATACAAACCATAGCACCCCTATCTTCCTTAAACGCATCCGGAAATTCCAAAAAGTCCATGTTTAACACGCAAACACTTCGTTTTCTCCTACAAAATAATAATTCTCGACAATTTCGGAGTTTTGGCGCAATCTAACGCCACCTACAAATATTTAGCCAACATCAGAATTAATTTATTGAAATATTTATTTCGACAATTCCAAGATTTTTTAAAACTACAATTAGAAAAATATGGAAATAATAAATGAATTTATATTTTTATATAAATAATTTTCGAATATGTTTTATACCAGCCGCCCCATTTTGGGCCGGGCCGAACCCATAATGGGCTTGCTAAAAGAGGCCCACAAAGCGGAAAGAGTTAAAAAAATAATAATAATAATAATAAGACTAACGCATAAGCAAATATTTTAACAAACCATTAAAATACGCATAAACGGAATACGTTAAGAAACGTCCACTGACTATTAACTTCCCAGGAACTTTTCGGGGTTGTCAATATCGGATATGTCGATCCCTAACACTTATCACTCGGCCATCTCATTGTAGACCTAGCCGAACTCACAATGTGGTTAATAAAAAAGGTCTTCTTATTAGAGTCGATAGATATATTGGTCTCTCAGCTACTAATAGCGCTAATGCTACGAAACTGGCTTAATAAATATTTCTGCTACAGTACTACAAGCGTTGTGCGGCCGGATGACCGAGTGGTCAATGTGGCAGCCTACCGCTCTGGGGGAACTGGGCTCGAATCCGAACGGGTCGAAAGATCCTCGGGAATTTTTCAGGGGGTGGTCCGTTCGGATATGTCGGGCCCTGGCGGATCCATCGTGGGCCTGGCCGAACCCATAATGGGCCTGTAAAAAGAGGCCCTCTTAGTGTCCACAGGGCGGAAAGAGTTAAAAAAAACTACAAGCGTTTAATCGCTTTGGGGAGAAAGTTTGACACAACATAGCCAGAATCAGCCATAAACATTTGAAATTATTTTTAAAACTTGAAATTTTCTCGTTTTTATCTCAGATATGGCTTTTGCCCTTTTTAAACAATTGTCTGTAAACACTATTTCAATTCCGTTTTGAATATTATTTTTCATAAATGTTGCTGATATAAATAATAACAGATGAAATTTGATCCAAGAATCTGGTGTGTTATATCAGGAGTCACTGTAGTGACTTCCCGGCCATTTAATTAAATTTAACCAAATTTATGCCATTTAATTAAAACTTTTTATAACGATTTTACTAAACGGCATTTCAATAACATGATGATAATTTAAAATGTATTTCGATATAAGCATAGATGACGTCCTCGTTTCGTTACATTATTGTTTAAAACATCAAAGTTCACGGCAATTTCCTCTACAGAGATTTTGCTAAAGTATATGATTATAGACCTATAGTAACATATAAATGGACTATCTATATTCATGCAGTCCTTATCTCGAACAGTTTTTAGCTATCTATCCTTTCAAAATGTTGAAGCAGAGACAATTTTATCACACGGTATGGTAGTCACATACGACAAGGCCCTCTGTTCCATCTGTAAAAAGATAGCCCGATGTAGTAAGAACAGAATTCTAAGGAGTGAGATTATTGTAGGGTTTTAGAAAAACACTGCAGTTTCTTTACTCCTTAGAAATGAAAAAGACGCCATCGAGAGGAAATAGTGCCTCGGCCGAAACAACTTGAAAGGTTAGAAATGTACAAAGCCTTTGGGAGAAGGACGGTTCGAGGACAGACTCTATTTCGTCAGGCTAGAGAGCGTATAAAAAGTTATAAATGAACGTTTCTTCTTCCAATACTGAGATTTTTTTTTAACTCTTTCCGCCCTGTGGGCACTAAGAGGGCCTCTTTTTGCAAGCCCATTATGGGTTCGGCCAGGCCCACAATGGGGCTGCCTTTTAAACTCTTTCCGCCCTGTGGGCACTACTCTTTTTGCAAGCCCATTATGGGTTCGGCCAGGCCCACAATGGGGCTGCCGGGTGGTGAGGGACGGGGCCCGACATGATACTGAGACTAGTAATATCTATCACGTCTTTCTTAATTATGCACAATTAACAGAGACCGAGATTAAAACAGTTCTCTTTATTTAACAATGCATTTGGAATTGGTAATCCGGCTGTTAGGGACAGGTCACTCCTAAAAAATTTCGTGTTTTTCGTCTGCGTAGATTCGATTCTAGATCTTCAGAGCAATAAGCTGACACCTTAGCTTATTGCTCCATCTCAGCATTATCAAGAATCAAGGGTGATATACATGTGTGCTGTATATGTGGATCTATATTTGATATATATTTCAGAGCCTAAATTTGTGGCCAATCTGACGCTGTTCATACTTAAAGTAAGAATACAGTAGAGCATCGTTTATCCGAATCAATTGGGGACTGGGGTTGTTCGGATAACTTATGCGTTGAATTTTCGTCGATGTTAAGCCTAACGAAAACTTTTTAAAATAATAATCGTGGCTATTGTGTCGTTAATTAAAAATTATTTTTTTATTTGGTACAAATAAAATAAATATATTTAAAAATATAAAAACCAAAAAAATATACTTTAGAAGTTGATCTAGTATCAAAAATGTTCGATTCAGCATGACACACAATCCTCAGAAAAACACCACACAAAAGTGCCAGTGCTGCCAGCTAAAACACACACACACACCAACCAAAAAAATATTGGAGTAGTCCAAGATATAGCCAAAGATTGCAGCACCACAGCAGTAGTAAAAACTTAAATTTGCCGACTGAAATGCTTTCGGATAAATGACGCTCTACTGTATACGCATGCAAGCAAATAACTTAAGTATAGCGCGTAGAAAAAATTTTGTATAGTTAAATAGAAGTTTCTAGCCGTAAATCCAAATTCCAGATATTTTAATAACTTTTGCAAATTTCTAATAATGTATGAAATACGAGATACTGTGTGCAATTAAAATAATATTTATTAGTACAGATAACTCGTTTGCAGAAAAAAACAAATGTAAACTTCAGAATTCAATTCATTTAAGGTTCTGATGATAAAAATTTTATATGATCAAAAACTAGATGCTGTTAGTGCAGGTTATACAGTATTTGAACTATTTATAATAAATACATTTTGGTTGCTTCAATTTCTGGCACCGAAAAGAGATTTCTATTTGGAAAACGTGTTCAATAAGATTAATTTGCAAAAACTCCAGCTGGTGTCCGTGGAATTAAATAAAAGTACAGACGTTTACAATCTTGTGAAATAAAACATTGTTAATAATAAACATAGTTCACTGAAACTTTCCATCCTCGAATTTCGAAAATAGGACTTTCATTATACCGGTACGAAAGGTTTTTGACACGAAATACAGAAAGCTGTTTCTAGTAATAGTGACTGATACTGATTCATTGCTCTTAATTACAGTTTTTGCAGAGTTTACCAACTTCACGGGATATTTTATTTATAGTTCTGTCAAAGTTATCATCCTATTAGCATATGTGTTGCTCTTATACGACACTGGTATTAAGCTTACATCTATCAACAATTTGCAATATTATGATGTAGACAAGAGTCAAGACATCAATCTATCGCTTTGGAGGACTCAGGATCGAATCCGGTTGAGCATTTCAGGAATTTTTCGTGGAGTTCCGTCCCTCTCAGATGTGACGTGTCTGGCTGTTTCCATGATCGATACGATTAAAATATCCTCTTTGTGCCCACGAGGCAGAAAAGTCAAAAACGAGAAAAAAATGCGAACTTATTTTCGGTTTTTCATGTCGCTGTTGTTTATATCAATTATAAATTTAAATACATATCTTCTTAAAGTTTAAAGAACTGTAATTAAATAGTCAGATAATTCATGTTAAATCTGTCAAATTTTGTAGTAAGTTCGTAGCAGTCATTTTTTTAAAACATAATTGCTGTTTTACATATTTACTTAACTTTTCTTGTGATAACGAATATTGGAAAACTATTTAATAAGTTAAAGATAAGGAAAACATCTTTATATCGATTATTATGTCGGGAGTATCTACATTCATTAACTCTTATCTAAGAACATGTAACTGAAAATGTCGTAAATGGACATTTTTCAGCTATTACATGTGACAATAAGTGAATAATATTTGTAGATATTTTTTTAAAATCGTATTTGATTTCAAATTGGAAAATAATAGCATACAAATAAATAAGTTTTAAACATTTTAAAAAGAATAATTATGAGTTTAAAAAATGAATTAAAAATTAACTCAAATGTGTGTTTAAACGTTTAAACTTTACAACACTGACAGGTGTTAAAATTTCACGAAGTGTTGATTACAAAAAAATGCATATTTTATCTAAAATGTTTATTGATAAAATTGTAGTTACCTATATCTAAAAGCTTGAGTACTTCCCATATTTATTTAAAATGTACAGTATAATAAATACTGGTATAATTGATAACTAAAAAATAAAAATGTATTGTTACAGTCCGGCTGTCAAATATTACATTTACAGAATCTGTTTTGAAATATTCTTTTAATTGCTGTAATCAGTATAGGCTATATTTAATAGGATTTATTATGCATGCTTACGAAATTAATTATGTTTAATAAATTTTATAGAATTCTCTGAGTGACTCCAGAATCTGGACGAGCAGCACCAGAATTCTTCATGGACATGTCTCTTACCATCCAGTCATTACCATTGTGGGTTTAATCGAATCCACGACGAGCATCATTTAAAAGGCCGTCTTTTGTGTCCACAGGGCGATAAAGAATAAAATAATTATTTTATAACAACAATCACGCCGCAATATATTTTCACAGTATTTTTCAAAATGACATCTCTGCTTAGGTTATCGTTTAACATCAGATTTTGGAGATATTGTATGTTCCATTTTCGACAAATAGAAATAGTTTCGTCCTTAAAAATCATTTAACGTAATCTAAAATCTTTTAAATGCAATTTAACGGTCAGTGGCATATCGGTAACAATAATTTTGAGGCCCCTGCAAAAAATTTTCGGATCTTCATCAGTCTAAAATATGAAATTATGGTTAATTCAAATATGACATAATCAATTTTCATTTCTCCCTGTCACATTTTGTCACCAATTTTTTGAAACCTCATGCTGATGCCATTCCCCGATATTAAAATCATGAATTTTTATAAAACAGATCTACAGTACATTAATTTATTCATTTTTCCTGACAAAAAAAAAAAAAAAAAAAAAATAGTAATTTTAAAAATAAGTTAATAGGGGAAAAATGAAATTTACCGATTTTTACCAAAGAAAGAGTGTCTGATGACATTGTATTAATAATTCCTAAAGTTAATTTGTTATATACCGGTATATAATATTTTTCAAGTGTATCTGTAAAGGTTAAATTTGCCATTATCCTTTCATATGAAAAGTTCTACTAGCGTATCTTCAAAACAGATTTAGTACAAAGCTTCTGCTAAAAGGAAACTATTCAAATAAGCAAGAACTTGCTGAATGATCATTGATCAAAATATTTCTGCATAATGATTTTGATTAAATATAAATTATTTCAGATTTTAAAAAATTTTGAGAATCTTTAGGACATCAAAATTCTACTAACATCTCCCACTCCCTGTCATTTCCTTCACAAAATTTTTACATATCCCCCCAGTGTGGACATCACATTTGAATAATCCCTTAGTAAATTTTTAAGTGTTTTTTTTATATTGTAACAAAATCTTGTTTTTGATCATGTTTAATTGACAATATATAAGTTTACAGTTTTTAAAATCATCCAAAAAGAGCGAGGCCACTAGAATTCTGGCCCACTCGCACTATGCAATCTGCAGATGCTAATCAAGCCGCTAATAATTAAAGAAAAGATTGTTTAAGGCACCATAATCTTCTCTAATCCAAGTTGTATCTCATACTACATACATACAACAAAAGGATTAACTCCGAAAAGTCTTTGAATCCTACAAACTTTTTCATTTCAACGGAATGGAGGTTGCTAATCGCGATCATTATTCTAATAAGATATTTTATTTTAACATCATTCCTTTAGCGGAAATAACCTTTTCTAACTAGCTTAGTGACAGGAAGTTACAGCGTTCTTGGTTCTTCCCATGTTGAAGTTAAATAACTAAAAGAATAACCTCACGTTGATTTAAATCAAATAAGCATTCTATGTGAATACAATATTGATTTCTTTTCTCGTTATCGGGATAATAAATATTATTCCGATTAATTTTCGTCGTGTAAACGTAATTAGTGTGATGAGAAAATGAACGAATGATGCAAGCAAATTATACCAGTTTCGAATGCCTGCGAGGACACAAAAAGGTACTTACATCAATATACCCAGTTCAGAAGGCATCAATAAGAGAACAATTCATTTCGAGATATAGAATTATGAACAGAAAGAATACTTCTAAACAGTTTATTATATTTACAGAGATGGTTCTAGTTAACATCCTCTGATTTTAATCTCTTCTTAGAATGCATAATTATAATGCATGCAATCTTAAATACTTTTATTTGGTTCCTTCAAGGATTGCAGAAGCCATTTTTATTAAGTTATTTTGAAAATCTAGAAATGTATCCTCGAAACAGATATTAAATACATTCTCCAGTATGACAGAAAATGATAACCTCATTATGTATTGTATTTATTGTTATTATTATATTTAAAAGCGCTTATTTATTAACACTATATTTTGAGACACGAATTATAATTATGAAAGAGCTCGCTGAACGCTGAGCTAAGGAGCTAAATTATGACCTAATTACACTGTCTGAAGACAAAAGAAAAAAAGACTGGGTATGACGCAGATATAGCTCTGGTAGCTCTTAAGGTCGAGTAAAAGCAGGAGAACTGGAGGCAGGAAGGGCATCCGGCGGTAACACTTCTGTCAAAACTGATTGTTCCTGTACAGGAAACTGAAGTCCCATATAAAAATGGAATAAAAAGATTGAAGAAGTTGAATTACACTTAAAAAACAATATTTTTTTCAAAATTTATTGATAATCAACAGTTACCAATAATACAAAAGAGAAAATTAATATTTCAGAATTTATCTAATTGTTTTTCTAATTTTCTTGTGTATTTTATTTTATTTATAATTACTGCAATGATTTAAAATAGTAAAAGCAAAAATGTTTAACTTTTATAAATAAAAGTCGACCCCCTATAACACTGTAGATAATTCCGTTTTATATAAATTCCGTGTTGTACGAGTCACTTAGATTTTACAAATACGTGAGCCGTTCACAGCCCGGCACACGTATTTGTAAAATCTAAGTGACTCGTACAACATGGAATTCTTATAAAACGGAATTATCAACAGTGTTATAGGGAGGTCGACTTGTATAGTATTACAGTAATAAAATACTACTATAGTAACAAGAAATGCATTAACTTTTATTATTGTAGTAGTAGNGTATATTTTTAAATATTTTTAAAAAATTATAATTTTTATTGCGATTTCCGACCCCCCCTAATTAATTAAACATATATATAATAAAATCTTTTAATTAAAAAAATTAAAAAACTATCGGAAGTCGTTTTTGACATCAGAAAGCAGCTTTAAATAACTTTACCGAAGGAAAATCGGTGCACTACAACTTTAGAACGATTAATTAATTTTGATAAAAAAACTCCCATTAAAAAAACATTAAAAAGCAATTAAGCCTTAATCGAGTCTTATCAAAGGCTCATTAAAATCGCGATAAAATTCTTTCGCGTGGGCAAAAAATTTTGAAAAAATTTGAGGACCTAAAAAACATTCCAAAAATTCAAAAAAAAAATTTGGGGGGCCCAAACGCCCGCGTTTTTCGTAACGCTATGTAACTTGCCCGAGATATATCGGGTTTCGGTTGTGTATATTTGTAAAACTAATAACGTAAATAGCCATATAATTGTTCCTAAATTATGATATACAATTGCAACGGAAAATTACAGTATTTTTTCCAATTTTGGGTCCCCGAGATCTGGGATTCCTAAGCACGTCCAGCACTGGATAAAAATGTTTGTTTTTCGTTAAAATACATTGGTGTTTCTTTTTTTACATAAGTTTGTTTTTATGCAAAGCATAATTGATATAAAAACCACCTCACAAGTGATTTTTATATCAATTATGCTTTGCAAAAGGAACGCTCAAAAAAGAAAGGATTCAGTATTCACCTATTCAACAGAGATAATCAAATTTATATGTAGATTATCATGGAAAAAGTTTTGTTTGTTTTCACTCCTTTATCTATTCAGGTCCTAAATAAAAAAGAAAAGAACAGATAAACTAAACTGCATTTAAACATCTGAGGATCATTAAATTATCGCAATTAGATTTACTAAAGCAGGGGCTGATCTAATTTTCTAGTTCTTGGACTTGAGCTTTTTTCCGGCCTCTTTTCTAAAACTTTCTAATAATAAATGTTTTTAAACAAGGACATACTGACCTTCTCTTGTTTAAAAAATTCCCTAAAAAATCAATCATAAAATAGGTTGCAACTAAATGTGTTTTATGACTTGCAAATTTTTTAAATCTTAGACGTTTCTGTGAATTCATGTTCACATATTTACTGTATGTATAAAGATAATGATAAAATATTTTTGAGTATGATCATCAATACTATATTAATCTATAGAAATACTTTTCTGTTATACATGCAAGGGAGTTTGTATCGTGTCTGCTCGCTACCAAAGACCAAATCCACAGTAGTACTATCTGGATTAAATCATTCGTGAAAAGATTTGACCCGGATTCGAACCCGAATCTTCAGAGTAGTCTGTCTTAAGTCTACCGTCTCGTCCATCCTGTCGTCTTCACATGCAGTAGATAAATATGCATAAAACATATCTACAATATAAATTGTGCTACTAATATTTCAAGTATTTATGAAAAAATATAAGACGATCCTACAAATTTTAGAGCCAATATTCTAATTTCTAATAACAATTGTTCTATTATTATATATTTTAATATTTTTTAAGTTTTATTTAAAATTGAGAAACTTAAATACTTCGTTCAATTCACATAGTATAGTCTTTTTTTAAAATCTGTGGTGAATAATAACTATGAGTCTACGAGTTTTGCAAATTTTAATTAACGCAGAAAATAATACAGGCCAATTAAGAAACAGGTGGTTTTCTCGAATGGCAATCTGTAAACTTACATAACCATAATATATATATATATATGTTTTTTTTTTTAACGTTGTATATGTAGCTTATTTCCTTTTAATCTTTCTGGTGCATCCATTTATCGTTTATGGAAACGTAAGTATAAATGCAATTTATTTTATTCTTAATCGTAATGTCATAAAAGCCTTAATATAATATAATATTGCTACGATATTTTAAATATTATATACTTTTAGACTACAGCAAATAAAATAAAACAAGAGAAAATGGATCGTTTTGAAAAAATAATATAGAAATAACATTAGTTTATGGTGATAAAGAGAAAATAATTGCTAGAAAAATGCGATCCGTAAGGTCGAAAAAATTTTCATATTTCAGATCAGTGGCGCATGATTATTTTTCGTGAGAATGAAGATATAGAACCAAAATATAGAGGAATTTTTATTCGTAAATCGGGGGAAGCTACAGCGAATCTGGGAATGGCTACCTCTGTCCCGAAAAAAATTCTTAAGTTTAGTGAAATATTTTAAAACAAAGGGTATCGGATAAAATGAATAAATGACTAGAATTATTTATTTATACTTCGTACACGGATGCTAACATTTTAAGTCAAATCGGATCATTCCTCGTTTATCCACCGAAAAGCACATCAGTAGTAGGAGTGGATAAAACAAATGGTCATGTGTTCGTGTCTCATCAACGTGGGGTTTTTTGGGTTTTCTTCACGTGTCTAACAACCCAAATTAGTGCCGGTTTCTCATAAAAGTCCTCCCGGGAGGCACTCCCTTTTAACAGCTCGTCTATGTACACGCTGGTAGCAAGTTTCACTCACATACGTGAGCGTAATTTTAACAGCGGGCATCGTCATCTAGGGGCACTCGAAGAAACTCGAAATAAAAGCAAAAATGCTTTATCATAAATTCGTTAATTTTATCATCGCAGTTATATACACAGTACTTTTAACACATAATCAGATACCGTAAAAATAATAAATAATTTATTTTTACGCTATAAATAATCTTTCTTGCAAATTTATCTGTTAAAAACATACACCGAGCTTACTAATAAATATGTACGTTTATAAATATAAATATAAACTATAATAGGTATATAAATAAAAAAAAAAATTTCTAAACATTGAATAATGAATGTTATAAATACGAACAAGCATTTGAGACAATAAACAAATTTTTTTATTAACTTTATTTCAAAACTATATAAAAATATTTTTTTAACATTTAATTCGGATAATCGTTTTATCATTTAATAAAAAGTACAAAACTTGAGAAAAAATAATACATTTTCTCAAACTGTTCTAAAGTTTTTAATAATTTACATTTTCTCAAAGCTATTGTATATTTATCCAAGGAAAAACATGAAATAATACAAATTAATAATAATTTTTTTACGTTAAAATTAAGTTTACAGAAAATTTCGATTATTTATCATAAAATTTATGAAGATATAACTTAAACTAAAACACAAACTTTAAAAAGAATCTTGTTATTCTTTGTTTAAAATTTAATACAACATAAAATATAGAATAACTTGAGAATACGTAAATTTTTAACAGTAAAGTATATTCATATTAATAAAAAAAATTAAATTTAAGACTAAAAATATCTAACCTCGAATATAATTCAATATGAGAAAAATAAAAATTGATTTTGACCATAATTTCAGGAAATTTTCCCTATCTTAAGAAACATCAACCAATCAAAATGTATTTCTTACTAATATTTGGTGGAACGATGATGTCCATATTGACTACTACTACAGTTGCTGGAGGAATATTAGACATAGTGGATGATATCCTACCTGTCACCACTTCCTTCTATCGAGAAAAGGATGGACATCGAATGGTAGAAGTAATAGAAGTGAATACATATATTGGAGGAAAGAAATTAGTTGACTGTTTCTTATACGGCGATAAGTACGATTCTGATATTTATTCTTCGTTAAATATCCTTCTCAAATTTCACTTGAAATTAAACTTTTTAGCTACATCATTGAGAAGATGCTAGAAGTGGTTCCCAAGAAGCTTGTGAAGGTGGTACCTAAAAAAGATATAAGCAAGTTAGTTAACCAATGTAATGAGTTGTTATACAAAAAAATACGAGAAAATGCATTTGATATTATTAAGACTCCGTTCGACTTTGCTAGAAAAATATTTAAAAGTTTTCTCATATTTCCAGGCAAGTACATGTTCAAGTAACCAAATAAAATCAATTCTGTATACTAAAATTATAATCTGATTCTATTATAACTAATTAATATTTATTAGACATTGCTATGGCATAAAATTACTAATAAATCATAATTTATTAAATTAATTTAAAAAAATGTTTTAACGAAAGCTTAATTATATTTAAATATTTGAACATCTGAGTTCTAACCACAGCAGAATACAGGTGTATACAATTACTAGAATTTTTCCCCTTGAAATTTTAAGTTATTTAGAATTTTCTTGTTTTCAAAGTTTTGTTATAAAATAAAATAGACATTTTCATCTCTGTAATAATATGCCTAAAATATTCATTTCAAAGAAATTGCGTTGCATTATGCAGGTACAAAATGGTGTGGTGCTGGAGACGTTGCTGATGACTACGATGATCTCGGACCGGCCACAGAAACTGACATGTGTTGTAGAACTCATGATCATTGTAACGATAGCATTACAGGATTTGAAACCAAATACAAATTAAAGAATAAGGATTTTTATACAAAGTAAGTGTTTATAACATTCTCGAATATGTTTCATTAGATAACTACATATAAATTGTAAAAAATCCAGGAACGAGTTACTTAATCCCTTCCCTCCGACCTTTAACCATCAAAATTTAATACCTACAATCCTCCAATACACAACAGAAATTTTCGACAAAAAGCGATTTGAAAGAGGATCCATGCATACAGAAAAACCCTAATTTTTTTTTTTTTTGCATTTCTCGACGTTTCGAGATGCCCTGAGCCAAAAGAATGTAAAAATCTTGGAGAGAGAGGGGTCATTTTTTGACTGATCGCCATACTTTCCCATTGTTATATATAACAAAACTAGGAAAGTAGAAATTAGATAAATAAATATTCAGGATAAACGACCAGATGCGAAGGCGTTAAAGACGTCAACCTGTGATCTGAGGACAGGGTTCGAATCTGGGTCAGGAATCTTAGTTCTCACGGGCGGTCTGTCCTGGATATGATGGGTCCTGACCCTCACCATCTAGCCAGGACGGCTGTCCTCAATGTGGGTCTGGCGGAACTCACGACGAGTAAGATTAATAAAATCCTCTTAGCCCTTCAGGACAAGGTAAAAAAAAACTTTTTTCAGAATGATAAATTATTCTCAAAGAAATTCTTAATTAAATATGTAGAAACTTATAACATTTTTCTTCAAAATATAACTTAACAGGATGCAAAATTTAGCTAGTTATAAATATTATCAAAATTATTATTACGAACTTCTGTAACTGAACTTCGGGACCTCATAAGAAATGGGTATATCTTGACAGTAATGTTATTTCAATTCAAAAAAATTTTCCCAGAACGGAGTTAGATAAATAACCGACATGACTCTATTGTTATCAGAAAAAGTATGACGTACAGTACAGAGACCATATGCTATTAAAATTAAAAGCATAAGAAATGCATTTTGATGATTTAAAATAGCAACCCAGCATAGTGATGATGTCACAATAATTTTTGCAAGTAATATATAGTTTATTCTCATTTTTTTCACTGGTCAAGTTTAATTTGAATTAGTGCTGGCAAAAAACAAGGAATTCTTCAGATCGGTTTGAATTCAGTAGAATTAATGATTTATTATTGCATTTTATTATTATTGCATAAATATTAGCTAAGATATACGCCTGCTTCATTACCAAAAAGAGCGAATGTCAGCTTAATCAGGGTTGCATAATGACAAGAATGAAAACAAGAAAATAAAATTGCGTTGCCAAAGCCCAGGACTGAAGATGCTAACGACTGATTTATATTATCAGTTTTATATTGGTGTATTTAAATATTATACGATATCACAATATTACAACATATAAATTTAATAATTTAATATTTGTGAGAAAACATAAATACAAAATTTCCAAGACAAAATTTAAAATTATTATTTTAAATTTTGTCTTGGAAATTATTTATTGTGAAAATATTATTTATTGTCGAGCAATTATTTATTGTGACATCATCACAATGCCGGGCTGCACAATGCACTTAAGTTTAATAATATCTTACTCCTGTACATCATACTTTCCTGTTAACAATAAAATCATGCCGGTCATGTATCTAACTCCGTTCAGGAGAAAATATTTGAATTGAAATAACGTGATTTCCGTTTTGCACCAGAAGTTCGTATATAATTAATAGGGGGCTTTCTGCCCCAAGGTTTCCATATCTGGTCTTGCCTTTCATCTATCTAACACCGTTCTCGAGATTAAAGAAAGACAGACAGACAAACGGACAATTCTTTCAATATTCATTTTATGTTAAACATCGATCAATATAAAATGAATATATATCATGTTTAATGTGTAGATTTTACATACTGTAGATTTTTTATCTGTCAAAAGATAATGTTCTTTATAATGCACTTTAAAATCTAATATATTTTATATTGTTAACAACGTTAAATTTAATTTACAGAAGTCATTGTGATTGTGATAATGGATTTCATCAATGTTTACTTGACGGAGAAACTTTGATTTCTGACGCAGTTGGTCATCTATTTTTCAATATTCTACAAACACAATGTTTCAAAAACGAACATCCCATTGTTAAATGTCTGAAAAAATGGGGGTTAGTACATAATGTAGTACGCAAATTATTTGTAGATTTAATAGATGATAATAAATATTCATATTTTATTACTATTTTCCAGAATACCAATTGTTAGAGATATATGTCAGGAGTACGAGTTAGATGAGAATAAATCGAAAAAATTTCAGTTTTTTGATGGGAAAATGTATCAAGGAAAACACGAACCATCGTTTCTGAAAGATCTTCTCTCACATTAATGGTAATAAAGCCATTTTGCTACAGAAAATTCTTGGATTAATAAATATGTAGTGAAGAAAACTTAAAATTTCATTATACGTGTCGTTTTTGATGTATAATTCGCAAACTACGTTCAGAATAGTGGCGGATTAAGATCATCTGAAACTCCTAGGCACAGAAGATTGGAAGGTTCCTCTATATAATTTTATGACATGAAATATACACCCACAACTGCAGTTGTGGGTATATATGTGCTAACCCCTTAAGGACATTGAGATTTTTGATATTTTATAATCATTAATTTAATTAAATGTAAAAAATACTTAAAACTGAAAAAAAACGAAGAAACGCGTTTATTTTGAAGAAAAAGCTTCAAATTTTATTTTTCTTTGTCTCGTCTTTCTGTGAAATATAACACCGATGAGTCATTGTTTATACAGCTGGATGACCTTGAACACAGCTGGTGTCGTATTTCCCGGGACATTCTCATAGACGTCTCGGGAGGAGAAGGGTTTAAAGTAGGGTGACTAGAAATTAAACGTATATTTTTAAATATTTTAAAAAAACTAAAATTTTTATTGCGATTTCCGATTCCCCGACTTAATTAAACTTATATATAATAAAATCTATTAATTAAAAAAATTAAAACTATCGGAAGTCGTTTTTGACATCAGAAAGCAGCTTTAAATAACTTTACCGAAGGAAAATCGGTGCACTACAACTTTAGAACGATTAATTAATTTTGATAAAAAAACTCCCATTAAAAAAACATTAAAAAGCAATTAAGCCTTAATCGAGTCTTATCAAAGGCTCATTAAAATCGCGATAAAATTCTTTCGCGTGGGCAAAAAATTTTGAAAAAATTTGAGGACCTAAAAAACATTCCAAAAATTCAAAAAAAAAATTTGGGGGGCCCAAACGCCCGCGTTTTTCGTAACGCTATGTAACTTGCCCGAGATATATCGGGTTTCGGTTGTGTATATTTGTAAAACTAATAACGTAAATAGCCATATAATTGTTCCTAAATTATGATATACAATTGCAACGGAAAATTACAGTATTTTTTCCAATTTTGGGTCCCCGAGATCTGGGATTCCTAAGCACGTCCAGCACTGGATAAAAATGTTTGTTTTTCGTTAAAATACATTGGTGTTTCTTTTTTTACATAAGTTTGTTTTTATGCAAAGCATAATTGATATAAAAACCACCTCACAAGTGATTTTTATATCAATTATGCTTTGCAAAAGGAACGCTCAAAAAAGAAAGGATTCAGTATTCACCTATTCAACAGAGATAATCAAATTTATATGTAGATTATCATGGAAAAAGTTTTGTTTGTTTTCACTCCTTTATCTATTCAGGTCCTAAATAAAAAAGAAAAGAACAGATAAACTAAACTGCATTTAAACATCTGAGGATCATTAAATTATCGCAATTAGATTTACTAAAGCAGGGGCTGATCTAATTTTCTAGTTCTTGGACTTGAGCTTTTTTCCGGCCTCTTTTCTAAAACTTTCTAATAATAAATGTTTTTAAACAAGGACATACTGACCTTCTCTTGTTTAAAAAATTCCCTAAAAAATCAATCATAAAATAGGTTGCAACTAAATGTGTTTTATGACTTGCAAATTTTTTAAATCTTAGACGTTTCTGTGAATTCATGTTCACATATTTACTGTATGTATAAGAAAGTTACGTAGTATAAAAAATTAAAAAAAATATATTTGTAAATTATGATAATTTCCAATTATTTTTTTAACTTTAATAAATTTCTAAATTAGTATTGTTTTACACTTCTATGTTCTATCACTTATTTAAGTTACATAATTTGCTTTGAGACTCTAAAAGCTGAAGACTCTGAGCGCAAATCCTATTAGCCTTTACATAACGTAAATTTGCCACTTCTATAGCAAAAATTTTTGAGCTAATAATACTATATCCAGATAGTTTTAAATACAGATCTCTTCATTCCTACAATATAAAATTATATTTCTATATAATCATATACTGTATATTTAGACGAAGTTCACTACATTCAATCGATACGTATAATTGTTAAATTTTTTTTATTTCACAATAGAATAGCTCATTGTTTTTATTTACTGTACAAAAATGAATTACTTATATGTAATTAGTAATGTTTCTGTAGTGAATATGAAATGCATGAATTTGTTTTGTGAGCGATTGCGGTCTCAATTTCATATTTCCTGATATCATTTGGAGTTACTAAACGACGGAAGTATCAGCTAAATCTTTATATATTTTTTTTTAAATGTGCTTATTATATTAGTCTAAAGAAATTTTTAAACTATTATATCATATTAATTGGTATCACAGGAATTTTACATTCGTTTTATGTTACTGTGAATGACCGATATCTGGCGAATGTCAACATTCTCCGGTGAATGTCAGCATTCACACAGTCGTTTCGTGTATATACGAAATATTTGCTAAATATCATTATTTCTCACTTACACCGGCAAACGTCGAATTCAGCATGCACTGATGGTGAATGTTGAATAAAAATATTTTTATTAGGCCTACGTTAAGACAAAAATGCAACTTTTTAATATGTCAAATTAGGAGAAAGCTTAAATAACGGCACATGTAAACTGTTGAACCTAAAAACAAACAGTACATTCTAAATCAGAAAAGAAAATAATACAATAATAAACTTACACATAAATTATGTGATTAATGTTACACAATCTTATTTATTGCAACAACTTAAACTGTTATGGCACTTTGAATTGCACAAGAATCACTTGCTTTTACAACTGCATTTATTCGCGGAACATTTCTTTTTGCAATGACAGCGTTTATAGCCTTGCCCTTCACTTTTCGAATAATCTGCAGCTGCTTCTCTCAGCGATATTTCTCGAGAAGAAATCTCATCTATGGAAAGTAACTTTACAAATTACGAACTGATCTGTTAATAGCGTCTTTTATTTGGATATCGCTGACGCCATACCGACGATCATTCTCATCCTCCGCCACTCGACCCGACAAACCCCACCTCACGGGATCAAACGAACAAAAACGCCATCCAGTGACAAAGTGGACAGTTTCCACCAAACCGTTGCCAGGAAAAGAGGTACGACTTTGTTCTACCTCCGGCTACCCACAAAGGATTTAGCGACAGACTATCACCTCTCTGTCGACATCGGCTTCTCGGGTGTCGTTTCGACCTCCACCAAAGCTTATCTGTGCTTGTCGACATACACCGGCGATTGTTCGAATATATAATAATATAACCAAATATTCGGTCTTTTACCAATGTATTTTGTATGTGTCAACATTTACCGAAGAATATCAACATTCTCTAATTTCGGTCTTTCACAGTAACTACTGTTATATACACTCAACGTATAATCATATTACGCTGTCTCTGAAAGAAACCTGACTGCTTCCCTTTGTAAAAGTTATCAAAAATAGAACAGTTCGAACTTCGGAGTCATTACGAGTTTCCAATCAATATAATTTTCGAGAAAAAATAATTTTAAAAAACATGAATGTGTAAATTTCTTCATGAAAATTTTTATATCCAGCTAAAATATATTTCGCATAAAATCATTTAGTTTTAACTTAATTTAGATAATGTTTATAATAACCTATAGTTATAGGCATAAAACAAATTATTTAATATCAAAAATTATAATTACAATATATACTTGTAATATATTTTTCTTTAATAGCTTGACTAATATTTAGTTCAATCAACTTGTTAATGAATTCTTAAAAATTTTAACTTTTATCTTAATTAATTAATTTATATGAAATATCAGATTTAACTAATTTAAATACTGATAAATATCATGGTTTTTGCAGTCTCATTTATGCGATTTTTAAATAATGCGACCTTATAACTAAGAATAATTAAATAAATCTTATGATATGCTTACTAATTAAAACGAAGCGCTATACTTTCAAGCAGGACAATAACTTACAATTTCCCATTTTTGTTTCCTGTCAGAAGCTGTGTTTTTATTCCGATGAGAAAAAAATAGTAATAACTCATCTTTTTATATTAAATTATTTTACAGGAAAAACGTTTATAAATGGAAAAAAATATGTTATTTTTCAATGTTAAACTTTGTGCATAAATAAGATAAATATTTTCAAATAATTATTATTTCAAATCTTGGATAAGAATCAAAATCTGTTTAAAAAATGTAATTAACTAAAATTTAAAGGTTACATACAGTATATATAATATAGACCTTACTAATGGGGGATTAAAAAATCTTGAGGTGGTTTTAATTATAGTAAATAACTCATCGCTTATAAGGGAAAAATTTCCAATAAACCCATTTTTAATAGAATAATTCTGAGATAAAAAAATATTCAAGATAATTGTAATACTGAAAAGAAGAAATTCGAACACAATTCAAGAATGAAAATATACGAATGAGGAAAGGAAGCTTTGAATGATCGTTTGAATTATATAAAATTTCATCACTCAATCGTATTTCTAAGAGTTTCATATTGCACTTATAAGTTATAAATGCATAAAAATATCAATGTGGTCTAACAAAAATAACATAATTGCAACGAACAGGAAATTTTGTTCTATTATGTTAAAACAACAAGTCTATTCGATTCGTTCAGATAGCAAATTTATATAAAAACGTGCGCTATCTTTTTTACTTTTTACAATTTCTTATCGTAAAATTGATAAAATAACGTCAGATTGTCACAAACAAACGAAGAAATTCAGCATTTAACAATTTCCTTGTATGTTAGGTGACGCCTCTCTGGTGACACTTTCTGAATTCATTGCCGTATCAAGTTCAATCTCAACAGTCGATAACTAATTCTCCTATTCCTACACATTGCTAACATTAGTAGAACAGAAATAAGTAAGAGTAATTTAGAATTAACACTCGATCCTCGGTAGTATAGTGGTTAGTATCCCCGCCTGTCACGCGGGAGACCGGGGTTCGATTCCCCGCCGGGGAGAATTTTTTTTTCTTCTCGGATAAAGTGTAAAATGTTTCATTAAATTTCTTCGATAGCTTATCCTTCAATATTATCTTTCTAGAACTTTTTAAAAAAGAAAATTAACATATAAATATGAATAAATGATCA